TAGTGAATTCAAAATTAGATAAAGGGTTAATTCTTTTCTTTTATTTATTTTCTTTTTACTTTAAACAAAATTGTAATAAATTGCTATTATTTTTCTTAAAATCTAAATTTGATATCTCATTGTGTTTTTTTTATATATCAAATTCATTTAAAGAACACAAAACAAACAAACTTTAAATTTATACACACTGTATAGTTTAATTCAGCTAAAACAATTTTTTTTTTTAGAATACAAAGGAGTAAAAATACCGGCTAATTCACCATTCAACTGCCGGGAACCCAGGTATTTCTGAACAGGATATCTAAAAATAATTCTTAAGGTTAAGAAAAGGGTTACATATTTATTTACTGATCGACTGTTGGCATGGAACATTGAGTGGTCTCGCCAGCGCAGGAAGCTTACCATCCATTATATAACACCACAGAAATTCTCTGTTAATAACCCAGTAGAAAATGTATTTTATAACATCCTCATTTAGATAGGCGCTGTTAAACATTCAGCCCAAATGCTCCGGAGAGACCTGGAACGTATTCATTTTTCCTTATAGCCTATATCACACCAATAGGTGGATGTGATCTTAAGGAAAGTGTTAAGTATTTCAGCACATAAGAGCAGGTAATAAAATATATCCTATATTTTGTTGCGCTCAGCAGCTTTTCACTAATAAAGCTCTTCATGTAAATTTCATTATCATATTTTACCACGTCATATAAAAGCATAAACACTTGTTTGAGGACACAGAACACATTTTGTATTTGCAGTTTTCCCCGATGCCTTTGTAAAGCGGCGCTGTGCAGAACAGAAAAAAAGGCAGCCTAGTTTCTGCTTTCGCTCACCAAAAAATGCTCTGTTTGCACTATTTGATTAATATCATCGTATCCAAATATTTATAAATAACATTTTAAACCTCCTCTGGTGTTATTGTTTTTTGGAAATATCTAAAATCTTTTTTTCAGATAGGTTTTTATAAAATGAAAGTTTAATATGGCTTTAAAACGGTTTGATTTATCGATTGTATGTACCTAAATTGTTATTGTCACCGACTCGGTCCCAGTCATTCCCCTCGCTGGCCAGCAGAGGTCATCATCACTGGACTACTGACATTACGTCACCCTCTCAGACACTGATTGCCACACACCTGCTCCACATCACACTGATTACCCACGCACACATATAAGCAGCCCAAACACACACTCCAGTGCGAAGTCTTGTTCTGCCTCTGCTGACATTACTGAGCGTTTCTCATCCTTGCCTGATCTCCCTGTTGCTAACTCGGATTGTCCCTCGACCTTGCCTTGCCTGCCGACTGTCTTGAACCCAGCCTGATTATCGACATTGATCCTAGCCGCCTGCCTCTGACCTATGCCTGCTATATCACCCAGTGTATGCCAGCTGCCAGCCTATCGACCCTATACAACTGTGATTGATGTGAGTTCGCACACTAGTACATACTGTGTGTTCGTTATTAAACTGTGTTTAATAAATATACTGCAAATGAATCCCTCTGTGTCAGACCCTTCGTTACAGAAGACTTCGCCCAACATGGATCCCGCAGCCCTGCAGGTCTTGTCCACAGAACTCACTACCCAAGCCCAGGTACTAGCGACACATCAGCAGCAGCTTTCACACCTCACCCGGCTGACGGAGGAGTTAGTAAAAGCCCTACAAGGTTTGAATGTTGCAATCCCAGCACAACCCACCGCCAACTACTCTCCCAGTCAACATCCGGTAACCTATGCACAAAGTTCCAGTCCCCGCCTAGCGTTCCCTGAGAAGTTTACGGGTAATCCAGCCAAGTGTAAAGGTTTTCTGCTGCAATGCAAACTGTTTGTCGCTAAACAATCCCACATGTTTGCGGATGAGAACAGCAAGATCGCCTTTGTGTGCTCACTGCTCGCTGGGAAGGCTCTAGACTGGGCTACTGCTGTCTGGCCAGATAACACTCCCACTTTTCCTACGTTTAAAGAGTTTATTCAACGTTTCTGTGTGGTATTCGATCATCCGGAAGGAGGTCGAAATGCAGTTAAAGAACTTTTGACTATCCAGCAGAGAAATCAACCTGCGGCTGAGTTCGCTTTGCACTTTCGTTCATTAGCTGCACAAACTGGCTGGGCTGACTATCCCTTGAAAACCCTCTACCGCAAAGCTTTAAACCCCAGACTCAAAACTGAAATGGCCTGTAGAGATGAAGGGAAAACACTGGATCAGCTCATCGAACTGTCCATCAGGCTAGATAATCTGCTCCGCACACGAAGACCATCCCATGCTATTCTTCCCTGTCCTACTCAAGACGCAGTCCCAGCATCTTCATTCACCGTGGAACCCATGCAACTGGGTCGAACCCAGTTATCTAGTGAAGAACGTGACAGATGTTTAAAGAATAAATTATGCCTTTATTGCGGTCTTTTTGGTCATACCAAGGTTCAATGCCCCAATAAGCCACCCATCAAAACGTTATCGGTGAGTGCAACTTCTATCTTTTCAAGCAACAGTAACACTCTGACTGTACCCGTCTCTCTGTGTTTTGGAAATGCAACGATTCACACTGTCGTTCTGGTTGATTCAGGAGCTGCAGGCAATTTCATGGATTATACGTTTGCCAATAACAACGCTGTTCCATTAACCTCTTGTGATTCCCCCCTAGCAATCACGGCGATAGACGGACGCACCCTAGGGGATGGAAATATAACTTACCGCAACTCCAACTCTCCGTTCAAACAGGCTCTCTCCACAAATAACAGATGGAGTTTCTGATCACAAAATCCCTACAACATACCATTATTCTTAAATGGCCCTGGTTACAAGCCCATAACCCCCATATTTCCTGAAAAAAGGGTGAGATTACTAAATGGAGCGAATTATGCCTGAATAACTGCCTATGTTCTATTGTTCCCGTCCAGCTCAATGCCATTGTCACCCGAAGTGTACAAGGATCTTGCGGAGGCATTTAGTAAGCAAAAGGCTATTAAGCTTCCACCTCACTGTGAGTATGACTGCGCCATTGAGTTATTGCCTGGTACAACACCCCCTCGTGGGAGAATCTTTCCTCTCTCCCAAAGAGAAACCGAAACCATGAACGCTTACATTAAAGAGGAGCTGGAGAAAGGATATATGTGACCATCAACGTCACCCGCATCCGCAGGCTTCTTCTTTGTGGAGAAGAAGGATGGAAGTTTACGCCCCTACATCGATTATAGAAGTTTGAACGAGATCACAGTCAAATACTGCTATCCCCTGCCTTTGGTCCCAACAGCCTTGGAGCAATTACGCTCAGCCAGGTACTTTACTAACCTTGATCTTCGCAGTGCATACAACCTCATCAGAATAAAACAGGGTGACGAATGAAAGCCCGACTTTTCCACTGCCAACGGCCACTATGAATATTTGGTTTTGCCCTTCGGCCTAGCAAACAGTCCTTCCGTCTTCCAGGCTTTCATAAATGAGGTATTCCGAGACATGCTTAACCAGTGGGTCATTGTGTACATTGACGATATCCTCATTTACTCCAATACCTTAGAAGAACTAAGAAGAACCTTGCTAACCCGGACTGTCCCTCGACCTTGCCTTGCCTGCCGCCTGCCATTGACCCATGCCTGCTATATCACCCTGTGTATGCCAGCCGCCAGCCTATCGACCCTATACAACTGTGATTGAGTTCGCACGCTAGTACATACTGTGTGCTCGTTATTAAACTGTGTTTAATAAATAGACTGCAAATGGATCCCTATGTATCAGACCCTTTATTACAGTTATAGCTAGCTTTTGTTTGATTTTTATTAGTTTATTTTTTTTATGTGATTTTATTATATCCAATATTTGTAGTTCTTTAAATTATTTCAATATAACTTAGACTATTTTATTAAGATATGACATTATTGTTTTGAGCCACAAAAGTGAACACGGAATTTGTTAAGTTTTATCTTCTGTAGTATTCATATTGTGTATTCTCCAAAATAAATTCTTGCACACACATACAGGCATCGAAATGCGCACAAACATGTCTTTAAAAACTCTCGAAAACCTTTACTGTCTGCTGTGTCTTTAACATGGTGTACAGATTATTTTGGGTTATTGAAACAAGGAGGACACAGTAAAGAATGTCACATATGAATTAAACCTTTATTATTTTATGCAACAGCCTTACATTTAACAGGGAAACATGAGAGCGATCATAAGCAAAAAGACCCCAGCCTATAAGGCTAGATGTTTTCTTTCTCTTATTTATTTATTTGTTTATTTGCTTGGCGCATGTACTAATGTGAGGTTGGAAAACTAGTGCCCGCCTCTCCTCTCACTCTGCCCCGAAGCCCCAGCTGGCCCTCTTTAGCCCAAGATATTCGGCGGGCCGAAGAAGGCCGGCCGCTGGCCCTGAGAAAGCTTCACTTTAGCGCGATTAGGCCCTGGAAGTGACAGTGGAAACATAACTGACCTTGGCTCGCCCTGGCTTGCACGCTTTAGGTGCGATAGTGGAAACGCGGCTAATGTAGCTGTTTTCGTTGCTTGCACCTTTAATGCTAGTTCACCCTGCCCACTATTCCCACGTGCCTGTCAGAGTGTGCCTCAATATCCGCCTCAGCTGCGTCTTGGAGCAGATCTCACATAACATTTGTGAGAAATACTAGTAAGAATTTTCCCAATGATTATTTGATGTATTTGTTGTGGAGTTAATTCAAGTCTTTCTGCATCAAGTTACACACAATATCATTACAAAATTCCTGCAAGCACACACACAGCACACACGTTTAACTTTGCACTGTTTTTGCATGACAAATGTGACAGAATACAAGTTAATATCTACTGCTGTATGGATATCCGTTTAGGTAATGGAAGAAATAAGCCTGATTTAACATCAACAAACTGGGATTGAAGTGTCTTCTATTATAATTGTACTGACACGCAGCTTTTTTAAAAATGTTTTAAACTTGTAAAACTCATTCTTGATCACATTTAATGATGATTGATGATCACAGAAAGCTGAACATATCTTGTAATCCAAGTTGCTTTGTGCACATTGCATCTTGTTGATATGGTTATACGCACTACTATGAAGACATGTTAATACATGGTTGTCATTCAAATTGGTGTGTGGAAAAACTGCAAACCTACATCACATTCCAGTAGGCCCCAAAATGGGAGGGGTTTGGGATCCTGTTTAAACATCAGGAAATTTAAAAATAAGAGTTATTGTCTTCATATCACTCCATTATCGCTTTTGACACACAATACACACAGATCTGTCCAAACAGCTTACAAAAAATGATTTTCATCATTGCTGCCTTTTAATAAAATACATTAGGTTGTTTTCTGTGCCATATAAAAGACATTAAATAAATGAAAACTCATCTTGTTTGTTACTGTGAGATTGGGTTTAAGCTTGGGGTAGGTTTGACATTCAAACATACCAGGTGTCTTGGTGCGCATGCAGTCTTCGCAAAGGGAAGAAAGCGGCTCTGAGCGCAAAAGTCGTCCTTCGAGCCGGAGTCGAACCAGCGACCTAAGGATTGCCAACATCCCACCTACAGTCCTCCGCTCTACCAACTGAGCTATCGAAGGCTGACGAGGGAGTTCCACAACCTCACACTATAGGGTCGCTGCAGTCCGGCTGCTGGCCGAAAAGGACAGAAGCAAAAGCGCTCAAGCCTTCCCAAACCGGGAGTCGAACCCAGGCCGCCTGGGTGAAAACCAGGAATCCTGACCGCTAGACCATATGGGAACTGCCACTCATGAGGCCCAGTCTTGGCCCACACTCCAGTTCTTTCTGATCGCTCGCACTTCCCTGCTCCGCTTGCACAAGTGCCACTCATACACTTACGCACTCTCTCATACACAGCTTCCTGGTTTCCGTAACCTAGAATCTTCAGATCCGTAGTCATAAGCGTTATCCTTTGTGCCACCGGCACTCTGTTCAGCACCTTGCTAGCCCATTGCATGAAGTAAGGACAAGGCTCTGTCATTCCGGAGTTCCTTCACCACACATTCTGCTTTGTTTTTATGGCAAGAGGTTGTGTGGATGGGATGCTCTAACAGGATTCCCGACAGTCCCTCCATAGAAGACCTGCGATCCAGGGCTGGAGACTCTCACCTCTCCAAGAGGAGGTTAAAAGCCATGGTTTCTTTTATGCCTTTGTGTCAGAGCATTTAGGTGTTGCTGCAGCTCAGAGACCTACAAGTGGAGGAGATTACACTGCAAGTTGGCTGGGTGACCACTAAGTGGTAGGCACTTATGCCACAAGTAGGCTAGCTTTGCGATTGATGTGGCTGTAGTAGACAGTAATAAAAAAAAATAATAATAAATAAAAAACTGGTTACTCTGAGGTTGTGTTTAGGCTTGGGGTAGGTGTAAAACTGAATAAAACGCAGCAGGTTACTGTGAGGTTGGCGCCAAGGGCTGGGGTAGGTGTGATAATAATAAAATATGCAATAGGTTGTATTCTGTGCCATGTACAAGACATTGCATAAATGAGAACCTCATGGAGGTTTGTTACTGTGAGGTTGGGTTTAGAGTTGTGGTAGGTTTGGAGGTTAATAAAACACAGCAGCATACTGTGAGGTTGGGTTTCGCATTGGGGTAGGTTTGACATTCAAATATAATAGGTTGGACGCAGTGTCTTGTACGAGACATTAAACGAATGAAAACTCCAGGAGGTTTGTACAGCCCACTTGGAGCTCAAGTCTCACCCACTTGGAGCTGACCAGGCCATTTGGAGCAGGCTCCGATTTCTATTTATACCTTTCTCAGTCAGGTAACTTCCTTTTCAGTAATATGAGCATCTGCACTGTGTGGCATATTTGCAGACATTTAACAGAGACTACAAACATTGCTCACACTGGTCTGAGATGGTCATTTTGACTGCAATCTTGTTTTAGGTGGGCACTTTGTTTTTGAATCTTGTCTGATTTTCCTATGTTTATCTGTGCTGCAGTAGAACGCCTTAGCCTCACAGCAAACATTGTGGTTTACAAGCTGTCACTGGCATCTTCCCAGGAGAGTGGCTGTCCTGGTTTCCTCTGGAAGTCCTGAGGTATGTGCGGGACCAAGACATGAGAGCAGTTGGGGCAGCCTTTAAAAGCAGGGGAGCACCCCACAGGCTCTGGGCCGGCGGCCCCAGAAACTCGATTCACTCCAGAGTAGAACTGAACAGCTCCGGCTGGGGCAAACGGCGACTGCAGTGCACTGACTGACAGCAACGCAAAAAGCTCTGAGCGAGCCAGCCAGGAGTCGAACCTAGAATCTTCTGATCCGTAGTCAGACGCGTTATCCATTGCGCCACTGGCCCAGTCTCTGTCTATAGTGCGCCTGTTGCTCGAAAGAGGACACAGCTCTGTCAGCATGGAGTTCCATCAACGCATGCTGTGCTTTGTTATCATGGCAAGTTGTGGTGTCGATAGGATGCACTTACACAGAGCATGAGACAGTCCCTCCCTGGAAGAACTGTGATCCAGGCTCTGAGACTTTTTCCCTTTCCAGGAGGAGGTTACAGGCGTAATTTTTGTCTGAGGAGCTGCAGCACACCTGGCTAGGGCAAGTTTTGCCAGCCTTCCCTGGTGGTCTAGTGGTTAGGATTCGGCGCTCTCACCGCCGCGGCCCGGGTTCGATTCCCGGTCAGGGAACTTTCTTTTCATTTCCATGGTGAACTTCGAGCTGTGGTGCGCATGCAGTCTTCGCAAAGGGAAGAAAGCGGCTCTGAGCGCAAAAGTCGTCCTTCGAGCCGGAGTCGAACCAGCGACCTAAGGATTGCCAACATCCCACCTACAGTGCTCCGCTCTACCAACTGAGCTATCGAAGGCTGACGAGGGAGCTCCACAACCTCACACTATAGGGTCGCTGCAGTCCGGCTGCTGGCCGAAAAGGACAGAAGCAAAAGCGCTCAAGCCTTCCCAAATCGGGAGTCGAACCCGGGCCGCCTGGGTGAAAACCAGGAATCCTGACCGCTAGACCATATGGGAACTGCCACGCACGAGGCCCAGTCTTGGCCCACACTCCAGTTCTTTCTGATCGCTCGCACTTCCCTGCTCCGCTTGCACAAGTGCCACTCATACACTTACGCACTCTCTCATACACAGCTTCCTGGTTTCCGTAACCTAGAATCTTCAGATCCGTAGTCATAAGCGTTATCCTTTGTGCCACCGGCACTCTGTTCAGCACCTTGCTAGCCCATTGCATGAAGTAAGGACAAGGCTCTGTCATTCCGGAGTTCTTTCCAGTTCTTTCTGATCGCTCGCACTTCCCTGCTCCGCTTGCACAAGTGCCACTCATACACTTACGCACTCTCTCATACACAGCTTCCTGGTTTCCGTAACCTAGAATCTTCAGATCCGTAGTCATAAGCGTTATCCTTTGTGCCACCGGCACTCTGTTCAGCACCTTGCTAGCCCATTGCATGAAGTAAGGACAAGGCTCTGTCATTCCGGAGTTCTTTCCAGTTCTTTCTGATCGCTCGCACTTCCCTGCTCCGCTTGCACAAGTGCCACTCATACACTTACGCACTCTCTCATACACAGCTTCCTGGTTTCCGTAACCTAGAATCTTCAGATCCGTAGTCATAAGCGTTATCCTTTGTGCCACCGGCACTCTGTTTAGCACCTTGCTAGCCCATTGCATGAAGTAAGGACAAGGCTCTGTCATTCCGGAGTTCCTTCACCACACATTCTGCTTTGTTTTTATGGCAAGAGGTTGTGTGGATGGGATGCTCTAACAGGATTCCCGACAGTCCCTCCATAGAAGACCTGCGATCCAGGGCTGGAGACTCTCACCTCTCCAAGAGGAGGTTAAAAGCCATGGTTTCTTTTATGCCTTTGTGTCAGAGCATTTAGGTGTTGCTGCAGCTCAGAGACCTACAAGTGGAGGAGATTACACTGCAAGTTGGCTGGGTGACCACTAAGTGGTAGGCACTTATGCCACAAGTAGGCTAGCTTTGCGATTGATGTGGCTGTAGTAGACAGTAATTAAAAAAAAAAATAAATAAATAAAAAACTGGTTACTCTGAGGTTGTGTTTAGGCTTGGGGTAGGTGTAAAACTGAATAAAACGCAGCAGGTTACTGTGAGGTTGGCGCCAAGGGCTGGGGTAGGTGTGATAATAATAAAATATGCAATAGGTTGTATTCTGTGCCATGTACAAGACATTGCATAAATGAGAACCTCATGGAGGTTTGTTACTGTGAGGTTGGGTTTAGAGTTGTGGTAGGTTTGGAGGTTAATAAAACACAGCAGCATACTGTGAGGTTGGGTTTCGCATTGGGGTAGGTTTGACATTCAAATATAATAGGTTGGACGCAGTGTCTTGTACGAGACATTAAACGAATGAAAACTCCAGGAGGTTTGTACAGCCCACTTGGAGCTCAAGTCTCACCCACTTGGAGCTGACCAGGCCATTTGGAGCAGGCTCCGATTTCTATTTATACCTTTCTCTGTCAGGTAACTTCCTTTTCAGTAATATGAGCATCTGCACTGTGTGGCATATTTGCAGACATTTAACAGAGACTACAAACATTGCTCACACTGGTCTGAGATGGTCATTTTGACTGCAATCTTGTTTTAGGTGGGCACTTTGTTTTTGAATCTTGTCTGATTTTCCTATGTTTATCTGTGCTGCAGTAGAACGCCTTAGCCTCACAGCAAACATTGTGGTTTACAAGCTGTCACTGGCATCTTCCCAGGAGAGTGGCTGTCCTGGTTTCCTCTGGAAGTCCTGAGGTATGTGCGGGACCAAGACATGAGAGCAGTTGGGGCAGCCTTTAAAAGCAGGGGAGCACCCCACAGGCTCTGGGCCGGCGGCCCCAGAAACTCGATTCACTCCAGAGTAGAACTGAACAGCTCCGGCTGGGGCAAACGGCGACTGCAGTGCACTGACTGACAGCAACGCAAAAAGCTCTGAGCAAGCCAGCCAGGAGTCGAACCTAGAATCTTCTGATCCGTAGTCAGACGCGTTATCCATTGCGCCACTGGCCCAGTCTCTGTCTGTAGTGCGCCTGTTGCTCGAAAGAGGACACAGCTCTGTCAGCATGGAGTTCCATCAACGCATGCTGTGCTTTGTTATCATGGCAAGTTGTGGTGTCGATAGGATGCACTTACACAGAGCATGAGACAGTCCCTCCCTGGAAGAACTGTGATCCAGGCTCTGAGACTTTTTCCCTTTCCAGGAGGAGGTTACAGGCGTAATTTTTGTCTGAGGAGCTGCAGCACACCTGGCTAGGGCAAGTTTTGCCAGCCTTCCCTGGTGGTCTAGTGGTTAGGATTCGGCGCTCTCACTGCCGCGGCCCGGGTTCGATTCCCGGTTAGGGAACTTTCTTTTCATTTCCATGGTGAACTTCGAGCTGTGGTGCGCATTCAGTCTACGCAAAGGGAAGAAAGCGGCTCTGAGCACAAAAGTCGTCCTTCGAGCCGGAGTCGAACCAGCGACCTAAGGATTGCCAACATCCCAGCTATAGTCCTCCGCTCTACCAACTGAGCTATCGAAAGCTGACGAGGGAGTTCCACAACCTCACACTATAGGGTCGCTGCAGTCCGGCTGCTGGCCGAAAAGGACAGAAGCAAAAGCGCTCAAGCCTTCCCAAACCGGGAGTCGAACCCGAGCCGCCTGGGTGAAAACCAGGAATCCTGACCGCTAGACCATATGGGAACTGCCACTCATGAGGCCCAGTCTTGGCCCACACTCCAGTTCTTTCTGATCGCTCGCACTTCCCTGCTCCGCTTGCACAAGTGCCACTCATACACTTACGCACTCTCTCATACACAGCTTCCTGGTTTCCGTAACCTAGAATCTTCAGATCCGTAGTCATAAGCGTTATCCTTTGTGCCACCGGCACTCTGTTCAGCACCTTGCTAGCCCATTGCATGAAGTAAGGACAAGGCTCTGTCATTCCGGAGTTCTTTCCAGTTCTTTCTGATCGCTCGCACTTCCCTGCTCCGCTTGCACAAGTGCCACTCATACACTTACGCACTCTCTCATACACAGCTTCCTGGTTTCCGTAACCTAGAATCTTCAGATCCGTAGTCATAAGCGTTATCCTTTGTGCCACCGGCACTCTGTTCAGCACCTTGCTAGCCCATTGCATGAAGTAAGGACAAGGCTCTGTCATTCCGGAGTTCCTTCACCACACATTCTGCTTTGTTTTTATGGCAAGAGGTTGTGTGGATGGGATGCTCTAACAGGATTCCCGACAGTCCCTCCATAGAAGACCTGCGATCCAGGGCTGGAGACTCTCACCTCTCCAAGAGGAGGTTAAAAGCCATGGTTTCTTTTATGCCTTTGTGTCAGAGCATTTAGGTGTTGCTGCAGCTCAGAGACCTACAAGTGGAGGAGATTACACTGCAAGTTGGCTGGGTGACCACTAAGTGGTAGGCACTTATGCCACAAGTAGGCTAGCTTTGCGATTGATGTGGCTGTAGTAGACAGTAATTAAAAAAATATATATAATAAATAAAAAACTGGTTACTCTGAGGTTGTGTTTAGGCTTGGGGTAGGTGTAAAACTGAATAAAACGCAGCAGGTTACTGTGAGGTTGGCGCCAAGGGCTGGGGTAGGTGTGATAATAATAAAATATGCAATAGGTTGTATTCTGTGCCATGTACAAGACATTGCATAAATGAGAACCTCATGGAGGTTTGTTACTGTGAGGTTGGGTTTAGAGTTGTGGTAGGTTTGGAGGTTAATAAAACACAGCAGCATACTGTGAGGTTGGGTTTCGCATTGGGGTAGGTTTGACATTCAAATATAATAGGTTGGACGCAGTGTCTTGTACGAGACATTAAACGAATGAAAACTCCAGGAGGTTTGTACAGCCCACTTGGAGCTCAAGTCTCACCCACTTGGAGCTGACCAGGCCATTTGGAGCAGGCTCCGATTTCTATTTATACCTTTCTCAGTCAGGTAACTTCCTTTTCAGTAATATGAGCATCTGCACTGTGTGGCATATTTGCAGACATTTAACAGAGACTACAAACATTGCTCCCACTGGTCTGAGATGGTCATTTTGACTGCAATCTTGTTTTAGGTGGGCACTTTGTTTTTGAATCTTGTCTGATTTTCCTATGTTTATCTGTGCTGCAGTAGAACGCCTTAGCCTCACAGCAAACATTGTGGTTTACAAGCTGTCACTGGCATCTTCCCAGGAGAGTGGCTGTCCTGGTTTCCTCTGGAAGTCCTGAGGTATGTGCGGGACCAAGACATGAGAGCAGTTGGGGCAGCCTTTAAAAGCAGGGGAGCACCCCACAGGCTCTGGGCCGGCGGCCCCAGAAACTCGATTCACTCCAGAGTAGAACTGAACAGCTCCGGCTGGGGCAAACGGCGACTGCAGTGCACTGACTGACAGCAACGCAAAAAGCTCTGAGCGAGCCAGCCAGGAGTCGAACCTAGAATCTTCTGATCCGTAGTCAGACGCGTTATCCATTGCGCCACTGGCCCAGTCTCTGTCTATAGTGCGCCTGTTGCTCGAAAGAGGACACAGCTCTGTCAGCATGGAGTTCCATCAACGCATGCTGTGCTTTGTTATCATGGCAAGTTGTGGTGTCGATAGGATGCACTTACACAGAGCATGAGACAGTCCCTCCCTGGAAGAACTGTGATCCAGGCTCTGAGACTTTTTCCCTTTCCAGGAGGAGGTTACAGGCGTAATTTTTGTCTGAGGAGCTGCAGCACACCTGGCTAGGGCAAGTTTTGCCAGCCTTCCCTGGTGGTCTAGTGGTTAGGATTCGGCGCTCTCACCGCCGCGGCCCGGGTTCGATTCCCGGTCAGGGAACTTTCTTTTCATTTCCATGGTGAACTTCGAGCTGTGGTGCGCATTCAGTCTTCGCAAAGGGAAGAAAGCGGCTCTGAGCGCAAAAGTCGTCCTTCGAGCCGGAGTCGAACCAGCGACCTAAGGATTGCCAACATCCCAGCTATAGTCCTCCGCTCTACCAACTGAGCTATCGAAAGCTGACGAGGGAGTTCCACAACCTCACACTATAGGGTCGCTGCAGTCCGGCTGCTGGCCGAAAAGGACAGAAGCAAAAGCGATCAAGCCTTCCCAAACCGGGAGTCGAACCCGAGCCGCCTGGGTGAAAACCAGGAATCCTGACCGCTAGACCATATGGGAACTGCCACGCACGAGGACCAGTCTTGGCCCACACTCCAGTTCTTTCTGATCGCTCGCACTTCCCTGCTCCGCTTGCACAAGTGCCACTCATACACTTACGCACTCTCTCATACACAGCTTCCTGGTTTCCGTAACCTAGAATCTTCAGATCCGTAGTCATAAGCGTTATCCTTTGTGCCACCGGCACTCTGTTCAGCACCTTGCTAGCCCATTGCATGAAGTAAGGACAAGGCTCTGTCATTCCGGAGTTCCTTCACCACACATTCTGCTTTGTTTTTATGGCAAGAGGTTGTGTGGATGGGATGCTCTAACAGGATTCCCGACAGTCCCTCCATAGAAGACCTGCGATCCAGGGCTGGAGACTCTCACCTCTCCAAGAGGAGGTTAAAAGCCATGGTTTCTTTTATGCCTTTGTGTCAGAGCATTTAGGTGTTGCTGCAGCTCAGAGACCTACAAGTGGAGGAGATTACACTGCAAGTTGGCTGGGTGACCACTAAGTGGTAGGCACTTATGCCACAAGTAGGCTAGCTTTGCGATTGATGTGGCTGTAGTAGACAGTAATTAAAAAAATATATATAATAAATAAAAAACTGGTTACTCTGAGGTTGTGTTTAGGCTTGGGGTAGGTGTAAAACTGAATAAAACGCAGCAGGTTACTGTGAGGTTGGCGCCAAGGGCTGGGGTAGGTGTGATAATAATAAAATATGCAATAGGTTGTATTCTGTGCCATGTACAAGACATTGCATAAATGAGAACCTCATGGAGGTTTGTTACTGTGAGGTTGGGTTTAGAGTTGTGGTAGGTTTGGAGGTTAATAAAACACAGCAGCATACTGTGAGGTTGGGTTTCGCATTGGGGTAGGTTTGACATTCAAATA